AGGAGTGGCACAATTACAGCCACTTTTAGAGTGTCTGGCACCACTCCCTCACTCAAAAGGGTGTTTACAGTCTCCTGGACCCATATAGAAATCCCTTCTCTAATTGCTGTAATAAGGCGGGGGACAGGGTCTATATTTTATTTCATTGCATTTCACTGCATTTCATTTCATAGAGTGAAAACCAAGTCTATGGAAAGATGGGGGAAAAGAAGGCTGAGTAGGGAGCCAAGGAGGAGAAAGTAGTAGAGAGAAAAAGGAAATAAACACTGAAAAACTGAAGTTGAAGAGAGAAGCACTTCCCAATCTAGGCATGGTGGTGGTAAATAGGAACTGAGGAAATGTGTAGGTGCCCCTCCCACAGATGCAGGGAACAGGAAGGGGAGGGGCTCCACCCAAACTAATACTCAACTGTATAATCTTCCAGACAACATCATCTATTCAGGAGCAAAGTCCATATGTTTGATGCACAGAGACCACAAGGAAGGACACTAATTTTACAAAGCTTACTTGTTCCACAATTATTCACAACCGTTTGCCTAGAAATAAGCATTTCCATTGTCTTTCTATGGAGACAGGCAACTTTACTCACTTATTGTGGATGTGCCTTAAAAATACTGAAAAGAGAACACTGCATTAATGAACAAACAGAAGGGTATGAGGCTGTTTTGTTTGTTGATTTTTACCAAAATCATCATCACACAGCAAAGAGAACTAATGGCCTAAATGATCAGCAGGTAAAATACTTTATGCTAAATACTGGAAATAAGATAATCTATCAACAATGAATTATTGATAAGATTGTAGAACAGCATCAAGCACAACATACCTCTGCAAAAATTAAGGCAAACCAATAGTTTTTAAAAATAAAAAAGTTATGTGCAGATTAATTATGTAAAATAACTACATGTTTTTGTATGGATAAAACAAATGTGAAAATGTGAAAATATCATTTATGTTTGCATTTTAGTCTTTGCAGAAATGTATGGCAATTTCTAAAAAATATTTCGTACAACTCATTTTGAAGTTTCTACATGTTGTCAAAGAACTCTAAGAGGTGGACACAGCCTTCTAGAATCATGTCAATATACTCTAACACAGAAGTCAATGAGATAATCTGGCCAACTATTCAAACAGTCCAAATGGCTTCTAAGGATTATTGGTCTCAGAAGAGTTTTGGATTTCCCCCATAATCTCCACATCACTGGATGTTATTAGAAATTCTGTTATAGACAGCCCAGAAATACAGATCTATCTCCCTAATGAAGCACTGGATTAATTACTCTCAGAGATTTGGAAAGGTAATGAAATTCCAGAATAAAATTCTCCAAGCTGAAAAACCTTCATTCTGGATCTGAAAGTCTCCTTTTGGGGAACAGTATCTCCTTGCCATGGAGATCATGGTGGCAGATTTCTCAACTAATTCCTCCTAGAAATGGACTGGAACAACAGTAATGATACCCTGGACGTACAGGTTTCTTACCAACTCATATGGAATTGTAAGCATTTGTGGATTGCCTTCAAATTTGTACACCCATCTGTAGAAGAAGGTCTTAGTGGCCAATGATAAAGTAGCACAGCATTTTCCTGGGGTCTTCCTTGTCATATCCTTGCAGGGTTATTTCATACAGCGGTTTTAGTCTGCTTAAATTTTAGTTTTGAAAAAGCGTATAGCCTTTGAGGTTGTTATTATAAAAAGAGCTGGGAATAAATAATGTAATCTTTCTTTTTCAGATGTCCTCTCCTGCTACCCCAGCTGTTCATTATGTATGGAGCTATAAAGCAAGACTGTATAGATCTATGCCATCAATACACCGGATACTGTAATTTAGTGATGTGTAATAATGGGTGACTTAACTCAGTACTGTAATAATGGCTAATTTTAACTACTCACACATGGACTGGATAAACTTATGTTCCAGTTCTGACAGAGAGGTTAAATTTCTTGATATCACAAATGAGTGTGCTGTAGAGCAAATGGTTATGCAACCAACCAGACAGGAGACAATCCTAGATTTAGTCCTAAGTGAGGTTGCCCAGGACACAGTAAAGCAATTAAATGTTGTTGAGCCAATAGGAAACAGTGAACACAGTGGTATCAAATTTAATATACAGTTAGTGGGAGACAACTAAAGAGATTGAACACAGTTACGTTTGACTTCAAAAGAGGTAACTTCTCAAAAATAAGGAAACTAGTAAAAAAGAAGCTGAAGAAGGGGATCAATAATTTTAAATAGCTTCAAATCATTTGGAGATTACTCAAAAACATTATAAAGATGCATACCACGAGTGAGGAAAGATAGCACAAAGTCCAGGAAATCACCAACATGGTTAACACATAGAATCAAGGAAGCTATTAGGGAGAAGAAAGCTTCCTTCAAAAAATGGAAATCTTGCCCAATGGGAAAAAAACAGAAGGGACCACAAGCTTGCACAAGGGGAATGCAAGCAGATAATCAGAGAAGCAGGGAAACAGTTTGAGGAACACATTGCTAACAACATCAAGGCCAACAATAATTATTTCAATATATCAAAAGAAAGCATGCAGCTAAAAAAGCAGTTAAACCATTGGATGATAATGGAATTAAAGCAGCACTGTGGGGGGGGTGGGAATGAGGAGTTTGCAGAGATGCTGAATATTCTTTATTTGTTTTCACAGCAGAAGGTGTAGAGCATACATACATAAACTTATGTATTCTGGAAGGCAGCCTGAAGATTAGGGCAGATAGTAGTGACAAAAGGAGAAAGTCTCAACCTTACTGACAAACTGAAAGTCAGCAAATCACCCAGTCTAGATGGTGTCAATCCTAGGGTTCTCAGAAATCCCTGACCTTCTTATCAAAATATTTAGTATGTCCCTAAAAACAGCCCTTGGGACAGAAGATTAGAGAATGGCCAATGTAACACAATGTTTAAAAAGGTATACAAGGTGGGGGGAAAACTGGGAAATTACAGGCCAGTTAGTTTAACATCTGTTAAACTCTTCTGGGTAAACTGAAAATAAGTAACTATGCAGTAAAAACACATAGAGGGATAGGCCCTGCTGGAAAAAAATCAGCACAGCTTCTGCACAGGAAGCCCCTTTTCACTAACCTATTGGAGTTCTTTGAGAGTGTCAATATGTCCAAAAAGCATTTGCCAAAGGCTCTTGAGTCTGAGTCGTCATGCAACAAAAGTTAAAAGGGGGTGGGTCCTCTTATGGATAACTAACTGGTTAAAGAACAGAAGACAAAGGGTGGGAATAAATGACAATTTCTCCCAATGGAGAGATGCAATCAGTGGAGTCACACACAGGATTCTGTATTAGGACTGATGCTTTTCAAGCTATTCATAAATGATCTGGAATTAGGAGTAAGTAGTAAAGTGGCCAAGTTTGCTGATGACTCCAAACTATTTATAATGGTTAAAATCAAAAGGAATCATGAGGTGTTCCAAAGGGACGTCAACAAGCTGGGAGAATGGGCATTAGAATAGCAAACACAGTTCAATATAACGCAAGCATAAAGCAATGTATGCTGGGTCAAAAAATCCCAACTTCAAGTACACACTGATGGGATTTGAGCAAGCAGTGACCAAGCAAGAAAGGGCTCTTGGAGTAGTAGTGAGCAGCTTGTTGAAAATGTTGGCCCAGTGCTGAGCTGCTGTGAAAAAGGCAATCACCATGCTAGGCATAATTAGGAATAGAATAGAAATCTTATCTCCCTTATACTAATCTTTGGTACAACTGCACTTAGAATATTGTGTTCAGTTCTGGTTGCCTTACCTGAAAAAAAAACACATTATTAAGTTGGGAAAAGTACAGAGAAAATGATCAGGGGGCTGGAACAGCTTCCTTCTCAGGAACATCTATAACAACCGGGACTGTTTAGCTTAGAAAAAAGGTGGGTAAGTGGGGACATGGAAGATGTGTTTAAAATAATCCATGGTGGAAAGAAAGTGGAGAGGGAGACATTTTTCTCCCTCTCCCCTAACATCAGAACCCAGGTCATTCCATGAAACTGTTTGGTGGGAGGTTCAGGTCAGATAAAAGGAAGTACTTTTTCATACACCATATAAAGCTATGGAATTCACTGCCATGGGAAGTAGTGATGGCCACCAATCCAGATGGACAGATTCATGGAAGAAGAGGCTATCAGTGGCTACTAGCATTGATGGCTATATGCTACCACCTTCACAGAGGTGGCATGCCTGCACATACAAATTACTGAGGAGTTTGGGCAGGCAAAGATCTTGCATCAATCCTGCTAGAGCAATCCAGTGGTGAGTTGGGTTGCCACCATGTGTACAGAGTGTTAGACTAGGTGGACTTTTGGTCTGATCTAGGATGGTTTTTCTTATTTTCCTATGATATCACACATCCAACTGAGATTTTGCAGTCCTGGTCCTTATTAAGATTCTGCCATTGGACACAGATAGCTGAAGCATAAAGTTGTTAGGTCAAGTAAACCAGCTGGGATGACTATAGTTGCTGGATTAAACTTCCCCTGGTCATATGACCCACAGCTCCAGAATGCTTTTAGCTTCACTAATTTGCCAGAATCCAAATTTTATGAGGGATCCTCCTTCTTCTATCAATGTACCATACTCAAACCAAGACGGGTATCCAGAAAGGAGTCTCTCAGTGACATTTCAATCTACAGGTATGTAACTGCCTCATAAATCACATCAAAGTCCAAATCTGAGAGCATAAAATCAATGTATTAGAACTAGCTTTTGGAAGACAAGCTAAAATGACAGATGGCTAAGACGTTTTCAATGCATTTTAGTATCTGAATTTTTGTTACAAAATATATTTTATTATTTGCCCTTCTTCTAAGGGATGGAGAGGGACTGAGATATATATACATGAAGTAAATGTTTACTTTGAAGTAAGTTCTATTCAATGATTTCAATGGAACTTTTCTCATCAAGTCTGTTAAGAATGTGCAGTTTTGGTGTCCTAGTGTTGAGAAAGAAACAACACAAATGTAACAGAGATGGGAAGTATGGTGCAGTGTACTGACCTTGAATAGTTGCTAGTGTACTGTTGCTCATCAGAGCTGGGCTGAGAGCACCGCCTAGTGTCCCTGGATTGAGACTGAGTAAGGCACCTCTGTAATTTCAAACAGGAAACAAAAACAAGTTAATGTTGGCTCAAGTGGCTTATTTTAGACATGAAGATGGAATGTATGGGCAAAAGGCATATTTTTCCTACAGCTTAATCACAAGGATTGAGGCAGCTTCTGTCAGCAGCCTATATAACTAGGACTGTAATATTCACTGACAATTTTTATATCATTGCACGGAACACAGAAACATTTTTAGAATAAAAAAGAAGTAGGAGAAAGGTCTACAAGAATTGTAAGAACCTGCTTTGAAACATTTTTATGGCTGAAAATTGCTGACATTCTCTTATTAGCATCAATACTGAAAAAAAGAAGAATTAACAAGATCTTTATTTTCTATCAACATCTGAGTTTAAGCTAATGAATGGAAAGTACCTTGCACTGGTATGTGATAGACGATTAGTGTATAAATTTTCACACTACTTTGATTATTTTATAAACAAGTTTAAAATGTAAGATGCTTACCCAGTTGCAAACTGAGAGGATGCCATCAAGCCTGGATTTAGTCCTGCTGCAGCTGCCATGGCAGCAAGACTTGCATTTGCAGGCAACTGGGCAGCTCCTTGTAGTGCAGCAGCTGCTGCTGTCTGTAACCCAGAAGCAGTTACCATCACCTGGCTGGTCCCAATTGCTGATGATAGAGGGGTGGAGGTTGTCTGTGTTGTGCTGGTCTCACTGGCACTTGATGCCTCAGAAATGGAAGCAGAGGCAGAAGGAGAGGGACTTAGAGATGGTGATGTCACTGCTGAGGAAGCTGGGGTTGCCGTAGAAATTACAGCTGCGGTATTGTTGGGGATGGTTTCCGTGGTGCCTGAAACAACCATTTCAATGAGACTAAAAATCTGACATGCCTCACAGGAGACGTATACCCATACAGAACAGAAAAATCAGAGCACAAGAGGAATGGGGAAGATTCTAATAGAACAAAAATGCAAAGTGCATGAATCCTAGTATGCTCTAGTAATTCACTTATTATTAATGCTAGATATGGATGCTGTCATAACACTACTTAAGCAAAGGAACCAGCATATAGTATTTGACATCTGCATCTTTTGTGTGTAGATCAACCCTTAGTTGAGGGGCTGAGTAACTCCTGTTTGGGCAAATGTGCTTCATATTTGTTTTAATTAATTAATTAATTAATTAATTAATATTTGAGGGCTTCAGTGGTCCCAAAATACAGAAAAAGCCCCTTTTATAGTACTGGAGGGTAAGTTTTTACATATCCCAATTTCCCATGTGCTGTTTTATTATAAAGGAGCAAGTGAATAATGGGTGTAGTCATGCATTATTTCCTGAATGCTCTGATGGATTTTTGCTTGTCTTCTGTTTGTAAGCTGTAATGCTGAGGAAAAATAGCCTCACTAAATTTTTGAGTGGCAACATAAGCTGTACTCACACTCTGAAAATGGCTCATGCAATTTTTTTTCCTATTGTGGATAGTTGACTATCTATCTATCTATTTATTAAAAGCATTTCTTAGTCCATCCTTCACCAGAGTCTCAGGACAGGATTTTTGATGAAGAATAGACCATTCCAGTGATTCCTTCAAACATTAGCCATCTATCTGCATTTTCTTACAAAGGCTGCCTGTCAATACTGTCCTGTGAAATGGAGGCCTGCTGCATATGCTAACTCTTATCCTAAATTTTGCAAGTGCATAAACCATTGGGTGAAAAGGAACACATTTGTTCAAGTCAGGGGACATCCCCTTTATTCACCAGTTATTTCAAAATATTCCCATAATCAGAATCAAATTTATACAGAGGAACAGTTTTCAACAGGATATCCTGTGTATACTACATATACTGAACAGAATGGAGAAATCACAATTTACCTTGAACCTTAATGTTTTAAAGCTTGGTGTCCTTTTAAAAAGCCAACCCTGGACACAAGTAACACTAGAAAATTAATAGTTAAGTGTTCTGTCTTAAAAATATTTCTGTGCTGCTACAACTTGAATAATTTCTTACCTGTGACTGCCAAACTCGTTACAGCCGCACTGCTTAGAGGGAGCACAGGGTTGACAGTCAGGGTAGTAGCTGCACTACTTGTCACAAGGCTTGGTGTGGTTGCCACCTATAGGTCAGAACAGCCAAATTCTGATCAGATGTCACTATTCCCCCAGCTCCACCATATTATCAACTGATATAGAAAGTGCCACATAAATTCTGTTGAATAACCTTAAATTTTCAAAAGATGCTTGGCTCCTGTCAATTATTATTTAATTAGCATTGGAACCTTTCCAAACAGGCATGCACACAGAGCCCGCATGTGTGATGCACAGAAACCACGAAGAAGAAATCATAAACCTTGTTTCTCACCTATAACTCATAACTAAAGCAAATATATTTCAGAGAAGAGATTTAAGTACTTAGTGAGATGTGAATTTTTGCTTGATCAAGCTGGATTCTTAAGAAAAGTAAGGACATAATACTATGCAAGTTTAGGCAGAGAAATGCCTACAGGTCCATCATGCCCCTGCCAAATGTAGGTTTTTTCTTGACTAAACTTTTATGGGATTGTGTTTTTTTACTATGTACAAATAGGAGCAATAAATACTGTACTTAATACCCCACTGACCAGTTCTGATAAATTTGACTTTGAAAACAGTTCAGAAACTTCAGCTGGAACAAAACAGGTTAGCAAGATTATTAATGGGGACTGGCCAATGTGATCATACTAGACCAGTGTTTTATCTTCTGCCCTGGCTACCAGTCTACTTCTGAGCTTGATTCAAAGTGCTGGCATTAACAGTAAAAGCTGTAAAAGGCTTGGAACAGGCTATCTGAAGGACTGCCTCCTTTCATGTATACCTTCCCGGACTCTAAGATCATCTTCAGTAGTCCTTCTGAGGGAGTCCCATAAAGGGAAATTAGGTGGGTGGTTATTAGGAAGAGGACATTTTCTGTCCCGGCAATCCAACTATGAATGAACACAGGGAGTACAGGGAGGTTCACTTTACACCTACATTCTACTCCTTTCTGTGCCAGGTGAAAAGCTTCTTATTCTCTTAGGAATTTGCTTCACGCTGTTTTAAATTCGGTACTGTATTTTAAATCTTTCTACTGCTGCAAACTTTTACTCTAGTTTTTACTTTTATATTATACTGTTAGAACTATTTAAGTTTTTATATTGTATTTTATCTTTTAAATTGTTTAAAATTGTTCTGAACTGCCCAGAGAGCTTTGGTAATTGGACAGTATAAAATGTAATAAACAAATTTTGAACTCTATACAGATAAAAATCAATATCAAGCTCATTGTCAAGAGGACATGAGTGATTATAATAATTATAATATAATTATAATCCATCCCAATCTGGTATAATTTATGTGGCTTTTAATTCTTACCAATGAAGTTGGACAAGGGAACATTGCTTTGATGGGTGAGCTGCTGGTTCCACCACTACTGGGTGGATTAATCCTTTTTTCCTTCTGGCGCCGGTTACAGAACCAAACGCGGATCACCTCTTTCTCCATTTTCAGCTGATCAGCTATCATGGTGATCTCTTCCGAGGTAGGCTTTTGGTTCTAAAAGAAAAATAAAGTGATTCACTCACTGTTATCAGGTGATAAAGCATTTCATGATAGTACTTCATGTTATATCCCATTTAATCAAATCAGATTATAGACTCAGTTTGCATGATCAAATAGCTAATGTACATGGACTGTAAATCTGAATATTCAGCACTCAGCAGTGGTTTGTCATGTCATGCAAATCAGGGGTACATGGTTATGCAAGGGTTGGTCAGCATAACAAATGACTGCTTACCATTGTTTTCGCCATAATGGGCTGTTTGTTCCTGTGAGCTGGCCCATACTGTTTTGTTATACCACAAGAGATATAACAGCAGCTTTACCTGACCTTGTGCCCCCCAAATGTTTCTGACTTCAGTTCTCATCAGTCCCAGCCTACATGGTCTGTGAGCAGAAATGCTGGGAGCTGTAGTTCAAAACATCTGGAGGACAGATTGAGGAACGCACGAAAAGCAATACGTTGTAGTAACACTGTGGAATAGATTTACAGACCTCCAGGAAACTCTTCTCTAAGGCCACACGTATGTTGGTCTCTATGCTGGTGCGTTTCTTCCTCCTGCGGTTCAAGCCCTCAATTCCCAGCCCTGGAGAATTCAGGGCACTTGGGCTGGAGAGAGCTGAATCAGATGAGAGGTTTTCTGGGAAGAAATAAATGCAAGTCATGGTAACTAAAAAATTTCAATTAGGTACCATTTACCACAGCAGCCTATGTTACTGCATATACAATCCAAAATTCTATGGCTTGAATCCTGAGTTCTAAAGATCAGAACTATGTTCCTAGGACACTGTCACTGATAGAATGAGGGAATTTGCTTATTGTGCCTCCCTCCTGTAGCCCACTGTGCCCCGCAAGCCTGCCAGAGAGGGCTGAAAAATCCTTTCCTGCCCTTTTATAAGGACCTCTGCTGGACTGAAAGAACTTCTGCAAATAGAATCAACTCTTAGGATCCATACTAGGGATCTATCTGGTAGGAGTATTGCTACTAATAGTGATTGCTGTTAAAAAGCAATGCTATACATCTCCCATTTCCTTTCCATGAAGCCTGCTGGGATATCAAGCTTGATGAAAGCCAACTGCACATACTCATATTAACAGCAAACTAACTTTTGATGTGTCAGCCAACATATTTTGCACATGTAATTTTCTGCACTGCACAGTCTCAAGAAAAAAAGAATATAAGCTTATGATTATGAAGCTGTGTCTCGAAAAAGAGAACTACTTTTAAATACACTATAGCTGTTCAATTGTTTTAATACCAGAGTCACCTTTTCACAAGATCTCTTTTGAAAATGTAACCTAACACCACATTACAGTCCATTAGTACTTACAAATGATGGCCTCATATATTCTTCCTGCATAATAGACTAAATAAATTAAAAATCTTTGTGATAAATACTGCAAGGGCTAATTCCATTTTCAAAGAGCATGTGACTAAAGCTTTTCCACAGAATATCAGACATTTGCTCTGATAGTTTGAGAAAATCTAGCTAATTATTCACCTGCATCATTGAGCCACTTTTCCAGAAGTGGTTTTAACTTGCACATATTCTTAAAGCTGAGGTTCAAGGCTTCGAAGCGAGAGATAGTAGTTTGACTGAAATCATTTCCATAGAGTTTACCCATAGCGAGCCCAACATCACCCTATGGATGGAACATAAATCGTTAAAATATACTTCAAGAGGACAGCTTCTCTTTATTTTATATATATAAAATGAAATTAATTATATTACAAAAGTATTGACAGATACAAATTAGACACATCTTCTATCTTGTATTCTTTAAACTGATTCCACACAGCAAGTTGAATTAATTTCCATTCCAACAGTTATACGTGTGAATAAATACTGTCTTGAAACACTAAATGATCTCCGCTGATTTTCTCACTGTCTGTGCAAGTATGAGTTTTAAAAGTTTCAAGATCTGGTACAAAAATCCATTTAGTTATTCTAGTACAACTCATAACAGATCAAACTGCAATAGCTACCTGATATTTTACAACATAAAAATAGGTATAGCATACCATCAAGTTACATATCAGAAATCCTAAAGCCCCCTTTGACCCCCCCAAAAAACCTTGTCAATTTAAATGCAATAGGTAATTAATCTTCAATATAAACTAGAACCTACCAATTTTCAAAAGACAAAACAACAGATCTATAAGAGTCTAAAAGTAACATACTACGCCACTGACAAATATTTCTCTTAGTTACATGAGTGTGTGTGTGTATGCGCACGCACGCACACACGCAATCTCATTATGAGTATTTAATTTTTATTACTTAGGTCTTCTAATTACTACCCTCTTATATAATTAAGCAATCATTATCATTAAAAACTAATTACGTATATACCTCAAAGAACGGAATGGTTAAGCAAATACTATGATGCCTGGTTTCCTATTACTCAATTTCCTCTTTCAGAAATGAGAAATGAAATATCCAGTATTTGGGGGTACCCCCGCAATGCTGTACTATCAGGTAGGAGAACTGTCCAGGAATATATTGCCTAAGACTGGTATTCTCAACTGTACCTATTTCTGGCACTGGCATGTCCAAATATGCCATAATTACAATTTACCACAACATATTCTATGGTTCCCCTTTGACTTTTCCACATTTTGTTATGTTACAACCTGGAATAGAAAATGATTTAATTGGCATTGTTACCATTTTCATAAAGTACTTCACTGTGAAGGTATAAAGTATTTTATTGCAGCATAAATGTTAAGTAAACAAATGACAAAATGGCATGTATTGGTTACATAAGCATTCACTCCCTGAGTCAAAACTCACTTGAAGCACCTTTAGCAGCAATTACAGCTGTAAGTCCTCTTGGGTAAGTCTCTGTTAGCTTTGTGCATCTGGATTCTGGAGCTGTTTTTCCATTCTTCCTGAAAAATTGCTCCAGCTCTGCCAGGTAGGATGGGGGCCATTAGTGAACAGCAACTTCTAAATCTTGCCACAAATTCTCAATGGGATTGAGCTCCGGACTTCAAGTAGGTTATTTTAAAACATTCAGGTTCTTGTTTTGAAACCACTCTAGAGTTACTGTGACTGTGTGGTTAGGGTCGCAGTCCTGCTGGAAGATGAACCTCATCCACAGTCCTTTGCAGACTGCAACAGATTTTCCTCTAGAACGGTCCTGTGTCTAGCTCCATTCATTTTGCTCTCCATCCTGACCAGTTTTCCAGTCCCTACCTAAGGAAAGCACCCCTACATGATGTTTTCAGGACAATGAGCACCGTTCACTTTATGCCATACTTAGCCTTTTTCAGGAAGCCCAAAAAGTTCAATGATGTTCTCATCAGACCAGATTACCCTTTTTCATAAGTTTGCTGTCTCTCCCAAAAGCCTTTTTGCAAACTCCAAGTGGGCTTTGATATAAGTTTATTTCAGCAGTGGCTTTCTTTTCACCACTCTTCCATAAAGCCCAGCTTTGTAGAGGGCCCAAGTGATAGTTGTCCCATGAACTGTTTCTCTACCAATATCTACAGATCTCTCCAGTTCCTTCATAACTAACAATAACCACTTCTTACCTGATCACTGAGGTTTGGCGGATGGCCTTCTGTAGCTGGAGTTGTGGTTGAGCCATATTCTTTCCATTTTGTAATAATGAATTTAATGATGCTTCAGGGAATCTTCATAGATTGGAATTTTTTAACAATATAAATCAACCCTGATTAGCACTACTTTATTCTAGACTTGCTTTTGATAGCACCTTAGTCTTCATAATGCTGTTTTATTTAGATATATTCTACAACAAAGTCTGGGAAATCCAGAAACAGATGCTTTGCATCTGATATCATATTATACAGAAATTGCACATAGATTCCATTCAACTATTCGTAGTATATGACTTCTGGAGTCAGTGGCTTGCACCTAGTGATGTGTGTGAAATCTAGTTTGGGAGTGGGAATCCACTAGAGTTCCTTGGCATAGCTCCCTGAACTTTGGCCCACTTTCTCTGTACTCTCAGTCTCAGTCACACTTTGTGAAAGTGTGTGTGTGTATGTTCTGTAGGAAATGTGTCCAAGCGAGTCTAAGAGGCTGGTGTGCACACATGCTTGCTACTCATGCCCACTGTGCAAGGGAGGTTCTTCTTTCACAAATGTGACAAAGAATGGGTTCATGAACATTCCCAAGCATTTTTGGATTTGATCTTGGCTTGGCTCACTCCCTAGCCTCGTGCAGGAAAGAAATCTAGCAAGTGCAGGAGAGCAAAATTCTAGTCAGATCTCGCATATATTTAGGCATGCTGCAGCAAAGGGGGTGAATACTTGTGCAACTGACAAATGCCAGCTTGTTTTTGATTTTTTACCATAATAAAATATATTATAAATAAATATATCAAGTAGTAACAATGCCAATGAAAGCTATTGCAGTTCCAGGTTGTACAATGTAAACTGCCCCTCAAGGCTGTTTAGAAACTTCTACTGGTACAAAACACAAGTAAGATTTATTTTATCAGAACCAGGTCTTCCCTCCCTCCCCTTCCTTTTTGCAGCACATTATGCCTGCTTTCTATCCACTTCACTGGCTGTTGTTCAGCACAGTAAAAGTGCTGTGTATTCCCTTTAAAACCCTAAAAAGCTTGTGACTAGGATTCTTAAACAATCATCACTTCCTGTACAATCCTGTCCTTCCGCTGAATTCAGAAAAGAGGCTCTTTTTATGCTTTGTTGTCACTTGCAGTAGGACACAAACTTTATAAGTATAAATAACATATGCAATCCCAGGTGTCCCTAGGTAGGGCTGGAAAAGTTCATGCCTGAAATGCTGAAGAGCTACTACCAATTAGAGCAGAATAAGGATGGGCTGTTTCCAGATGTATGGAGCCATTTTCAATCCCCAAGGGGGGGGGTCTCCATGGCTCTGCAGAGCACTACGCATTTTAACTCTGCAACAGCTATGAATACCATTTTCCTGGACATTGATTTTTTAAAATCTGGGGTGTAGTAGAGGACAGAGCTCAGGCCATAAGATAGCAAATGGGGGGCAACATGTGGCCTGTAGGCTGTGTGTTGCTCACCCCGATGTAGACAGTATTGAGCTAGATGGACAATGATCTGACTTGGAGGCACTAAAAGTAAGGGCATAATCCTGGCAAGATTTTCTTTATTGGCTCTTTACAGCCAGTTGAAAGTCTACCTGTTACAGCCAACCTTTCTGATTTTTTTTTTTTTTCATCTTCTTCTGCATCTTCCAGCATGGAAGGACTTAAACATACTGATTTTTCTTGTTCTGTATAATGCAATTCAAATTTCTTTCTCAATTGGTTGCTTTTTAAACAGTGGAATTAGCCACTGAACACATTGCAATACAGTGCAGTGAAAAGACAGGAAAGGTATCTTGAAAATATATGAAGATGATCTTCTGGGTCCCATGTTTCTTTAGGTGATCTCCACCTCTTAACAAACCATTAGTTATTTTATCTATCCACTTGGACACCCTGCTTTTTTAATAAAGCAGAACAAAGTTTGAGCAAACAATTGGTGAACTAGACCCTTCTTAGAATCTTGTCCAGATCCTCAGGCTATACTGGAATTCAACCATATCAAGAGGATGAAATGGTTCTATAGATACATTTTGCGACTGCACTATTGTTAACTCCTATGTCCAAGCTGAGGCAATTATGAACAAATGTTGTTCTTGAAGTACCTAGCAAAGAAATCACATGTGAATTCTAATGATCCTACAGAAAACCAACTTGAAGGCCACTAGATAATGACAGAAAAATAATCCCTCTTTGTCACCATCATGGACTCCACAATGGTTATTCATGACTTGATTACAGTTGTATTTTTTGTGGAATTTCCTACAAGTTTTCAAACCAAAACCTCAATTCAAGGCCTTGAGCTCCTGGACATACCAATGGGCCAAATGAGCTTTATGCAGTAGGTAAGGACACTTAGGATCTATAATGGACATTAGAGGAGACATTCTGAATCAGGTTAAAAGTTCATCCAGTCAAGCATTCCATTCACACAGTGACCAACCAGCTGCCTGTTAGAAACAAACATGACACATAATAGCACCCTCCCACTAATGCTACCAAGGAACTGATATACATTCACATACTTCTATGATAAACAATATCTACAGCAAAGGTTACGTTTGTTTTTCAAAGAATGATCAAGTGTTATATGGGTTTTCAAGCATTTACCGTATTTTTTGCTCTATAAGACACACTTTTTCCCCCCCTCAAAAGTAAGGGGAAATGTCTGTGCATCTTATAGAGTGAATATGTATGTGCAGTAAGTCTGTCAGATGTGCAGCCCAAGGGGAAGTGATGGGGAATGTGCCTATGATTATGTGCCCATTTGATTCAGAATATTTTTTTCTTGTTTTTCTCCTCTAAAAACTAGGTGCGTCTTATGGTCAGACGCGTCTTATTGAGTGAAAAATATGGTATTTCTTTATTTACATCCTACCTATTCTTTAGTGGAGACTAGACCTGTGCCAATCCAAGGCTCTTACTGCTATGCCACACTGACTTTTTTTAGAAATTGAGAGCTTGTAAAGGAAGGGACAGAGGAATGAAAGAGTGCAAGCATGAGAGAGATCTCAGTCCCTGAATTAAGCCTGAATGTGCCTAAGACACTGAAATCAATGGTTTAAGTGTACAGTCCTAAATATCCAGCTGTTTGAACTTTAGCCAAAGTCAACAAACCCACTTTTAAAAAGAAAAAAAACAAGTTTCATTCTTTGAAGTTAATTCCACAGAATCAAAATTAGGGATGAGCTAGGCTGGTGCCAGAGGTCAGACTAGATGGCCCGGGAGACCCTTTCTGACTCGCTCTGTTTCTGTTTCTATGAATGCATCTACCAGCTAGGGTTGTTTGCTGTGTGCTCTTTTTAATCAGCCCCATTTCAGAGTCCATGTGGAGGCTGAACACACACTGAAACGTGTCCAAAAAAGCTTTCATAGTCCCAACACTGCTTCTACTAAGGTCAGATATCTCTGGTAACACTCCTCACTCCCCTCCAGAAATAAGCTCAAAGAAGGGAAAGAGGAAAAAAGTTACCATGGATATGAAGCATTTGAAACATTATAATTTTATCACATATATTTTATTTATATTTTATATTTTTGTACAAATATTGACTCCAAAAGCAGTTCACATCAATAACCAGAATCATGCTCACAAACAAAAGACACAGTGAAATCGCAATGGAGATAGAAAGAGAGAAAGGAGTTGAGTTTGATAATGCCAGAACAGGTGTACAAAAAATAAACAGTTGGGGCTAGGTGGGCCTCTTCTCATTTGTGGCCTTCTTTGGACAGCAATGTAGCAGGATAAAATCCGCTAACCAGTGGCAGGGGTTAATGTGTACTTACCACTCCCTTTTGCTGTCTAAAAGAAACTGGCAATAAAATTTGAATGTTATTTCTGACTTGGAGTGGAAAAACATCTTCTCAGAATGGCTCTTTCTCTAGTGGGGCTAGGATGTTTTTTTCCTGGCTATGACATTCTTCCTGGAAGGCAACCTTCCAGTGGTCCTTGGTCCCTTGACCAATGGAAAAGGTCAGGATGCACTTTCCTTCTCATCTTCAGCTCCACAGCACATTTAGAGTACTTGGACATTCATCAAAGGAACTTCATCATTGGGAGTGTCCACAGCCCACCTGAGGACAATCCAGAATGGGTCCTCTTCAAAACATGATTAACTATGAAAATTAAGCAGCTATGCTTTGAATCCAGCAATTTCAGAGGAACGAAAGCAACTGGATTCTGCCAGTATATTTGTGTCTATGTGTTCATGTGCAGGCATCCATGCACATATGGATACTTGCAAATTCTTCTGCAGATATTAATAAAAACTAAACAAGGAGATTCTTTTTTGGGACCAAAGACAGAGCTCCTTTCAATTCTGGTGAGAGTAACCCTGCTAGAGAGATCCTAAGCCTTTAATCTTACCTGAGTGAATCCAAGTTTGATGCGTCTTTGTTTGAAAGTCTTGGCAAACTGCTCAAGCTCCTCAAGATCACTGGGCTCTTCCAAGCTGGGAGTATCAATTCGCTTTGGTGTTGACTGGCTCTGCGGAAGTGGCTGAATAGGGGTCGCTGCTATTGTGCGTGTTGGGGTTGCTGGCTGCTAAGAAATGTGAGAAAGCAAAGGAAGAATAGGAAGACAAATGTAAATCTAACTCATGGTTTTATTTCATGAAAATAATGATGCTTCTAAAACATTCATAGTTTATAACGTCTGCAATAGATGCTTAATATTAATAATGGCTATGTACTGTATTTTATTTATAAACATTTCCAAAATAACCACCTACAATATAGAATATTATCAAATGGAATTTGCTATAATGGGATTTTACTCAACAGGGCAATTCCTAAATAGCAGTTTCTTGACACTCTCACTTTTCTGTTCAGGAACAAAGTTTACTTTCTCCCTGCTTGCTCATTATGCTAAGAATGTAATGAATGAATCAAGAAATGTCATGTTTAAATAATCATAAGCTCTCCTAGTTTGGCTGACTTGCACCTAAATGGGTTGGGAGAGAAAGTCTGAAGAATGGCAAGAGGTGACACCAACCTAGTTCACAATCAAAACAGCTCAGTGGGACTTAATTAAACCTCAGTAGATTACAGCATACTTAGGATTACAAATTCAATACCCATCCACAACTTGCTGTGTTATGCAAACCCAGGACTCATGAGTTATGTGGGATTAAATAACCCAAAGCTGGGCAATGAATATTCAAAATGGCTGCCTGCATGTACCATATACCACAATCATTGCTTCATTATATGAACTGATCTATTATGAAGTGGAACATGATTCTAGAACATACAGATTTGGGACAACAGCTGTAACTAATCTCTCTGAATGTGAACAGCCTTCTATTGAAAAGCACTGTTTGAGATATTGATCTGGTTTGCACATAATGAGAAGCTACCATGGATGAATTTCCTTCAAGGGCTATTTGTTGCTGCACCAGTTTGAATATGTGAACCAAAGTGGTTTTTTTATTATGTGTGGATCTGAAAAGGGATGGTTGTTGGGAGGGTTAATCCCAACACAGCCTATGGGTTGGGTTCTGGGAAGCTTGTTAATCACTCTAACAATGCACCCACACCAAAATTGCACTTAATGACAAGCTCCAATATATCTCCGCTGTAGCTCCAATACTAAAAATGCCTGCTGTCACTGCAACAAGTAACCCCATGGAGAAATTCACCCATGATGGCCTCTTGTTACATGCAAACTTGGCCAATGCAAAAAACCTCTACTAATTATTTAACACATGCAAATCAGTATGTGTGAATGTATGATATGAATTCTAACAATATCTGGAACTTATTTTATCATAGCTTTTTAAATGTGAGTTAATACATTTTCCATTAGCTTCATAGTAATATAAAATGTAGTCTGTGAATAACCTGCAACAGAGAAACTGCACATTTATTTAGAAACTGCCACTGATCTCTCAAGAGAGAGGAATATCCACTTTTGCTCTAGAAGAACCAGATCCACAACTTTTGCCACACACCATAGCCTGAATCCTTCCAACCTACTTCTCCTAAGTAGCTAAAAAGAAATAAGACTGACCTGAGAGGTGAAAGTGATGCTTGGCTGAGACTGCAGGAGGTTGGCTTGGCTTTGCTGAGGTAGTTGTGTTAAGAGATTCTGCGCTTGCAAGAGACCTGAAAGAGAGAAAATAAGAAGGAAATTGACTTAAAGGTTATTGATTAGTATGATTTACTGCAATATAGCACCTTGTAGGCATACTGTGTACATTTCCTTAGATGTACTATACATACAACCTCTCCCAGCATGGATTAAAATTTATTTCAGGCATGTGATTTCCCCAAAAAGCAACTGAACTTGAGTAGGGAAAGGAATTTTAGCATAGTTATGGGAGATCATTAAGCCAAACTCAAATAGGCCAAAACTGAAATAGGTGATGCTCCTGTAAAGCTACTGACCAGTAGAAAGGAAATTAAGCTTTGTACTGCCCAGAAAAATGCAGCTGCCACAAGACTGCTTGGAAGTGCTTTCCTCATCCTCCAAATATGAACCTACCAATAATACCAACTGTATTATATCAATAATAATCAATAATTGATATAATTATATCAATAATAGCAATTGTGTTGTTACAACAACAACAAATTGATAATACCATTATTCTGTCCAGCCCCCTTCCTCAAACAGAAGGGTTTCTGGAATTGCACAGCAACATATTTATCATCTAATCCCAACAAAATTATCATACTTGTTTCCTCCTAAAATATGCATATCTGAGTACTGAAAACCTCTGACATGTGCATCCCTGCAATGATTTTTTTTTCTTGAAAAAAGAGAAGTTTGATATAAAAATCTTTCTAGGTCCTTTTAGAAATGTCTTGCTCACCCTGCTGCCCCTGCGGTGTCTGTGAGATGATGAACTGTGCTGGTTGCAAATTGGTTGTTGGATGCACCAACACAAACTGTTGCAGGTTGAGATTCTGTTGTTGGAGCTGCTGCAGGTGCTGCAAATCCTTCAAGAAGCAAAATGAATTAAGGCATGTCCAAGTAAACATTCACTTCCTCTCCTTCAAAAACAAAACACAACTTTTTGAAAAAGAAGGAAGATCCAAAATCCTTATTTCCTAAATACAGTACATCTCTATAAGACAATGAACAATAACTCAGTACATGGGGCAGAAAAATCTTAGTAACTCTGAATAAAAGGGAAAGTCTAGATAGGAGATTATGGGGTCTCACCATTTCTGTTGTAAAATCCTTGAGGCTTATAGCTATAGCATCATGCTCCTGATGCTACCTATAAGGGGGTATTTATAATGGGGGAGAGGAAGTAAATGCAAGCACATGGTGTTTGAGCAGTGGCCAAACTCTTACAATGGTCATATTTACCTACATATCACAGAATTAACCCTGGAAGTCATACTGATGGGCCATCTTGATGAACCATGTAGGCCTGGCAAGGGAACCTTAAGATGCAACAAAAGCAGCCCACTGGAGCTTCCCTCCCACAATCCATAATTCCATTATCCATAAAAATTCCCCTAATTCCTCACCATTAGCCACTGTGGCTGGAGCTGATAGAATTGGTAGTCCAAAACAGCTGGAGGGTTTTAGGTGGCCTACCCCCACATTGCTGTGTTCTGCAAACTATGTAAAACTCTTTGATATAACAGTTCAAAAACTAACAACTTTTCAATGGTCCCTATGATTCCCACACAAGTTTACTTGGGACAGCTACAGTTCAGGTAAATTGTGTACATAAAATCAGTTAATTAAAATATAGTAATGCCTCTTATGCAGAAAGCTGGTCAGTTCAATTACTCATGAACACCTCTACTAAAACAATCATTTATTTATTGCTTACATAAACAATTCAAATACGCAAAGTGGGACTCTGTTTAACAAACAAATGATTAAGAAAATACCTCAAGAAAACTAATTTATAGATTGCAGTTTTTAATAACACCCTTCTCCAAGGATGCCAGAGGAGCCTACATGGTTCTTCTTCATTTTTATCAGCAATCCCATGAAGTTGGGCCAGTTATCCATTGAGCAGGTCCTCCTAGATGAATTCCAATACTATACCAGTTCTTAATTTTCAACTGGCTTGAATCTAGAATCTCCCAGAAAAGCAAGCCTAATTCAGTCTCATTGTAAATCGCCGTTGATAATCGGCATCTTGCTTGTACTGTCCCTTTGCACACTCTGATTGCCTTTCTCACTCCTGGGTTTGCATTCACTACAGTTTTATACCACACCAAAATTAGAAACCACTTCAAACCATGGTTCCCAATTATGGTTTACAGGCACAAAATAGCATGTCTAAATCACTGTTTCCCCAGTTTGGATGTTGCAGCAGATTGCTCACTGCACAAGTTAAGAAGTAAGGAAACTAAGCAGTGTGTGTGAGCAGAAGTGGAGGAAGCATGTTCAAACACCAAATCCATTCATGAACTATTTGAACTAAGTGTGAATGTTATGTCTATATTTGATAAAAGGAAAGTTATCACTTTCCATAGGAAGGATGTGTAGCCTTTGAAAGTCAAACAATCAAACAGACTGTGTAGCGAAGGCACTTAAAACACAATGCTTAGTGGACCCTCATTCAGTTGTTCTGTGGGCAGACAGAAAGAAAATACATCAAAGCTATTAACAATTTGGATAATACTTACCTGTGCAATTTGTATCGGCTGAGATAGAGGGATTTGTGTCATGGGCGTTGCAGCAGAAGCTGAGATGGTGGCGCCTGCAGCATTGTGCTGCTGACTAGCTGAATGTTGCACTGCAGCTGCCAGCAACTGTGCCTGTGCCTGTTGTAGCAATAATTGCTGCTGGGCTGGTGTTAACGTGAGCTAGAAGCAAGTTTTAAGACAAACTTAATGGCATGAAGAATAAACCCTTTTTGCAAACATTACTTTTATTCCTGAGCAGCTTCTCTCAAACAAGCCTTCCTATATAAAAGGAGCAGCTCTATATACCAGGTAAGAAAGAAATCAACCTATACAGCTAATTTTACATAATCAAAACTATACTGACACAAGCATTGTGACCATCAGTACCACTGGGCTTACAGAAGCTTCTCTATGGTTCTGTTTCAAGACTAATGCAAAAAAAAATTAAGCAAGCAATGGAAAGCAGCAGCACTGACAGGAAAAAGCAAGCAAAAAGAACAAGCCATCACTGACAGGCTTTGAAAGGAAATTTACACCCACCAGAAGCACAAGCGATTAGCCAGATGAATGAGAAATAGCAATACTGGCTGTGGTTACCAAACAAACTGATAATACTCCAGCTGCATCACATTAGCATGAATCCCTGCCATGTTCCATCATCTCCATTATGCCTTAAGATATAGCTGAGGAACATGTGCACCATTTGTTCCCCTCCAAGTCACCCCCACTCTTTCCGTCTGCCTTTTTGTTTTGATAGGATTGAACTGGTAGGTGAACATCTCTGCCAGTTGCCAAACACACATTATCTCTGTGAAACAGGTGGTATCAGACTCTTTCTGATACATGAGTATTCTTCCCATTCTCTGTATTGAGAGAACCCCTAGCTTGGATATAGTCTTAATGAAGCAAGGAGCAGTTCAACAAAATGATACAGAATAAATTTGGATAGATTTTTAATAATTTCCCTGTATACCCACACTTATTTATTTGAAGTAAAATCCGTGGAGAATGATAGTAAGATTACAGTAAATTGCCAGTACATATGGAAATCAATAACTATTTTTTATATAAGGAATCTACCATTAGTACAGACACATGGCCATTGAACATAGCTGGTGCATGGAACTTGGATAAAACTTTGTACAGCAGCTTCCTCTGAATAGGACTAAATTCAAAATATGTCATTTAATTTACAGCTGACATCCTACTTAGATAGATCAAACTAAACAGAAAAGACTACAATTTCCCTCTTCGTGTCCCAAACCTTTAAAATGGCAGAAGTGACACATTAGTTTACTTTCCAAATAGTTCTAAACATATTTTTTTGCAACTGAACAAACACTGATAGATTACATAAAGAGTTCTCCATTGTGAATCTGAAACCACATTTTTTTGCATATGAAAAACACAATTTGGGCGAACCAAAGAGTCCAATCACATTAACAATTACACTTTGCTAAACTTGTTTAACTGTTTGGTCTGAGATTCATATATAAGATCAAGGTTTTATCTACACAAAGACACTACCTTCTCTTCAATGTAAGAAAAAAAGTTTCCATATCATTCACTTCAGCAAAAATGTATCAATACTGAAACTCTGACAGGTCACAGCAGAACACAACTATGAAGCAAGACAGACCTTATTTTCACAGCAAATAGCATGTAAGAAAAAAATTTGCTTTAATTTATCAACAGCTTCAATCAATATGCCGTATTAAAACTCCTGTTTCTATTGTCATCCTTCTACTCATTTGCAGGGAAGAGCCACTGTCTGACAGAATAGGACATACTTATTTATCACTATATTTATATGCCATCTTTCTTGAGGCAAGCCTCCACTCAAGACAAGTCACTCAATATTACCACATTGGAAAGAAAGACTAAAAGAACCCTGGCCTATAATTGAAACATATTAAATCCAGTGACAAGAAATATAAGGAAAGGTGTCCTAACCCATAAGATGTTTACCTTACTTCTAAAAGACAGCACTGTCAGGATTAACAGCACTTTCCCAGGCAGATTTCCATGAAGCTGCACTACAAAAGGAAAAGTGGCATCTTTGCCACAGATGAAACCTTTTCTCATAGTGTAGGGATAAGGCCCTCTGCTACAGTCTCAAGGTTTGTGGCAATTCATACAGGGAGAAGCATTCTTCCAAACAGGCTAGAATCAAGAAGTATAGGTTTTTAAGATACCACGGTCAGGACTCTGAATTAGGCCTAGAAGTAAATTGAACCAAACTACAGTATATCTAAATTTACATAACTGAATAAGAGAGCCTAGGAAAAGAAAAAGGAGACTTGCTCTGTTCTCTGTTCAAATACGAATTATCAGAGCACCCAAAGTGGTCTCTGCTCCACACCTTGGTTAGAGATTGACAAGAATAAATCAAAGATATAATAGTTCAATCCACATTTGCTTGAAAGTTATGTTGCAACAATCCACTTTATCACCGTTTAACTGGTTGACTGGCTAATACAACACCATGAGATGGTGACTCATTACAATTCACCTGGGCTCATCTTACCCCAGTGATCTGTCCTCCGGCCAGCATGAGCTGGGTCTGGGGTATGGCTGCCTGTATTGAAGGCTGCTGCGAAGGCTGAGTTGGCTGCTGACTGTCTCCCGATTCTTCATTAGATTTAGACTAGGAAAGGAATATATATATAGTTTTGAGGGGAAAAACAGATATTAATGAGATATAGCCATTGTGTATTTGTAAACAGCTTCCCTCCACTTTTTGAATAAGTTAAATCAGTAAAACAGGAAAGCCCCAGCATACCTTAAGACACTGTTTCCAAATGTAACTATAAGCTATGGAAAGGAGATTGATTTATTACCATCTCAATTAAAGCAATACTACGACATATCAAAATAAAAGGAAAAAAGCCACAATCACATTAAAAAGGCCACTCAATTGGCGAAACTTTCTGAACATACAGAACCTCTGGTTTCTCCTATCCCCCAGGCATATTAAGCAACTCCCAATTTAGTGTTAAAGAAGAATCCATTTCTACAATCTAAGGCTTCCTCACTTATCACAAGTGGCACTTCCCAATACTACTTTTAACAGGAAAGCCTATCATCCTCAGGTGCATGGAAACTGTGAATCAGGGAAGTTCATTTTCCCTGTATATATCTAGCCACCATAGAACTTTCAACTTAAACTACTTGCTAGGGAAAGCTTATATACTGAATTGCAACAGGGGCAAAAGAAACCCTCACTGTATTTGGTATCTTAACTAATACGAAGTTGATATTTATATAGGCAAGAACAGTTCATTTATTTAAAACTATTGTTTAAAAGGACAAATTGGTGTAGCCATGAGGGAGGAAATGCAAGCAAGAGAACACATGAAAAGGAAAAACAAGAAGAGGGGGTTTGTGCTAATTAAAACTGCTTATGCAGAACATTAAAATTCTGCATAGATTTGCATATTTTTCACCACCTGTTTTGGGGACTGCAGAGCTGGCTAATTAACATAGAGGCTCTGATTAATTCTGCCAGTCATTGAGAGATAATTACAGCACAGGACTGTAAACATTCTGCACTGGAGATATAGCCTGTTTGCCAACATCTCTCTCAGGGATTGAAAGTTTACCATGGCAACCAAAGCAATTTTCAGCCTCTCTCTTTTAGAGAGGAAGGTCACTATATCTCCTCCTTTCATAATTATCATATGTAACTAGGTGCATGTTCTAGGGGCCTCAAGAATGCTCTATTCTAGTTACTTAACACTCATACAGGATGAAGCCACTTCACAATAATACTATATTCTTTCCCTCTTAGATGCACTGCTTGAATGTTTTAATGAAGGGAAGTAATCAGGAGATTGTAATGCTACAGGGCATCATGTAACATACAAAGCTTAAACAGTCAGCTGTTTCTTAGAAAGAGCTACAACCAGTTTAGATTTTAACTATATTTGCTATTAAATGATTTAAAAACCATAAATAAGGAATGAATTATAACACTGTTGACAATTTTTAATTATCTCCTGCTCTAGGCAGCTTCCACAGTAGTGCTCTATAGGACTAGGCTGTGAAACACAACATGAGAACTACTGTAATAGATCAACAGTACTAATGTATAGAAAATATTAATAAATGACTGCTGAATCACCACTAGTATTGCAAATAATCAGTCTGATGCAGATGCAAAAAGCACAGAAACCCTTACCTGTACATTTAAGGACTGGGCAGCAGCCTGTAAACTTGATCCAGGGAGCTGAACCTATAAAAATGAAATAAAATGATTGTGTGTGTGTGTGTGTGTGTGTGTGTATAAATGGACTGTAAAGAAATAAAACAACTGCTAACAAAATGTTTCTAGCTTTCTAAATAAACAAGACATCTTAAAAGTAAGTTTTAAAAATAATTTAGGATATTTATTGGATTGATTCATACCAAATGCTCAAGTACGGTTTGTTCTGATCATAGCTTACACTCCAAGCCTTTCTTAGTATTCCAAAGACATAGGGAAATATTGGCTGTGGGACTTTCTTTTCCTGCTTTTCTGAGAATCACTGAATACTGATCCAGTGATCTCCAAGGACAGAGCAAGAACCCAAACCATTATTTGTCAGCTTACATACAATACTGAAATGTGCCTTGCAAACCAATTTCAAGCTGTGGCTTCAGATCCTGGTTCAAATCCCTTCAGATCCACTCATAAGTTTTTTCAAATGGGTATTGGTTAGTCATAAAGATTTGGTATTCTGAAATTTTTGCTCTGTATAAGACTTCCAGTTTATATTTTAACTTTGATTGAAGATGGAGTATTGTGGGGAGGGGGCATACAAACTTTTTAGTTTATAAGGAACAGTCTCAGCTTAGGCAGATTTTCACTTTTTATTTACTATACATAATAGAAATACCACAGAATACACACAAGTTAAAGTCAGTTCTTCCTCTCCACACAAGTTTAAGGCTACACAGAGGCTCTGCAAATTTAAACAATAGCAAGGTTGTCAATTATGTTTCTCATCGTTTTTGCAATACTTAATGGTGAAATCCTACTGCTTTTGCCCTTGATACATAGAACACTCCAAACTTGGAAGGTTTATGTGCATCTAAGGGTCAGTGTGAGGTGCTGCAGTAGGTCTCTCTATACCTCCCCTGAACATTTTATCTAGATTGCATTATTTGGCTGTCTAAAGCCCCTGAGAAGTGGAGGAATGAAGGCTAGGGTTCTGATAAGAATTGGCATTGGTAGACATCCCAGCTCTTCCTCTCCCTGACCTCCAGCATGCCCTTTCACCCTCTCTCTGAAGCACATTTCTGCTCTTGGAGAGGCAGCTGGCACAGTTCTTTTCACAATGGCTATAAGTACAGGCAGGGTAGAAGCTCAGCCATCAGAGTCCAAGAGAACATCAGTACTAGAACTCTGAAGAATCCTATATCCCACACAAAAATGTAGGGAGGCCAAAAGTTTGCACCCTAAATCTTGTATCTAAGCCACAACCTGATGTTGCTTTACATGCTTTTTCTTAACAGAAAGATTTTTTTAAATACAGCTGCTTCTCCACAACCTGGGGAGAGACAAATCCTCAACCACCTATATACGTATTATAAGGTACACATTTTTTATACCTTGTTGATTGTTGCATTGTTGATTATACAGACTTTTCTGCATGTCAAGAAAAGTAACTTCTGAAGTGGCCCTAACTGCCACGCTCCCACAAAACATGAAATAAAAAGCACCCTAGACCTTATTTCATATTGAAGGACCATTATCAGCCAGAAATGGCAGCAGCTCTTTATAACACTTAATGTAAAAAATCAACACTCAAACATGTACAAATAAAAACAACATGTAAAAGTAAACTCCTCCACAGCTTACAGTGATAACCTCTAACAGGAATTATGTAAGAGCCATGTCTGTTGCTCAAAATGAGATTAACAGATGAGAACCATGTCAAGTGTGACACGATTACCACACCTTTTATGAAAATATATTACAAAACAGATGCATCATATATTCTGTACCATGTGAGCTGCAACATAATGCTAAGAATAAAACAATATATCCCACACAGGAACACTAACTTAGAGGTACAAATCAAGGAAATATTTTGTTGCCTCTTCAAATGTTTCCTACATTTCTGGTTTGGATTCTATAAGATTATGAACATGCCATCTGTCACTAAGCAGGCAATTTGTCTCTAAAAGTGTTCGCATTTCCAGTGCCAAAATCCAGTTTAATCTGCCTGCCCAGTAGAATTCTGAGATAGCAACCATATTAATTAGAGAAAGGCTTCCAAGGCAGTACCATGCACAGCTGTCTTAGAGAATTGGATAGGTTAATAAAGTACATTTTTGGCTATTTCAGCTCTTTTTGTAGCATGAGCTTATGATCAAATGTCTCTTAGGTATAGGTTACAAATGCATAAAGCCCATTTAAATCAAGGCCTGAATTCAATGAACTCCAAAGCAAAAGCTTTCTGATTACAGAGTTAAAACAATGCCTTGTGAAATCAATCTGAAGTAAAAATGCCACACATGTATGGTAACGTAACATGTTCCTGTTACCATTCAGAACTGCAAATTCAAACAAAACTGGTAAAACAACAATAATCACTTCAAAAGTTCGTAATTCAACATTTTTTCACACTAGAGATTTCTCCCATTAACAAAACCTACACCCATACTGGAGCTGATATTCACAGCACCACTTGGCCTCCCTTTCCCAATCTATATACCTCTTTTAACTTTTGAAGGTATTTTCTATTATGGCAAAGATATTGGCCATAATAGAAGATATCTATTATGGCAAAGAACACTTAGTTTTGCAAAAAGAAAAGAAAAAAGAAAAGAACCGGCTTTGCCATTTCATCCTCCAGATCAAGAACTTGAGAGATTGAGCTAATTGTGGGCTGCTGTCTTTGAAAATTCTGTATCCTGAGGTTGTGAGCACATCTGGCTTCAGTTGATATGCAACCTCCATTCATTGCTTCAGCTACCGGGGTTTTATGTAACTCACATGAACATCTCTATACTAAATAAATATCCTAGCCAGTTGTTTCAGTGGCTAAGTGCAACCTCAGCATCATTGCTTACTAACCAGCTTACTACAGCCCTCTCTGTTTATCCACATAAACACACTCAATATTTCATTGCATTCTGGCATTACAGGACCAAAAGCAAATGTTGGCAGATGAGAGGATAAGACTATACAAATATTTTAATTATTAAAATATTTTTATCCTGCATATTTCATCAGGAATTTCCAAGGCTTCTAAAAGCAATATTAATAAAGCTATAAAACAATTGAGCTCCGAGCCTAATTTAGGATGTTAAGATCAGTGTTTGAAGCCCCAAACAGCTTGGGGCCAGAGTATCTAAAGCAGCACCTCCTATATGAACCTATCTGACTCCTTAAATCAGCTTCTGGGGTCCTTCTGAGGGATCCCCCTCCTCAGGAAATAAGGAGGTGGCAACAAGTAGGGACTTTTGGGGAATGGCAACTTGGCTTTGAATGAGCTCCTCATTAAGATGAGATTGGGTGCACTTTTATTTACCTTATGGCATCAGATGATAAGAGCAGCCATTAATGCCCAAACACATACTGTGCAATACAGGGTTAGAGACAAAGCCAGAAGACTCTAAATCTAGGGACAGAAGACTATTTTTTCATTGCTTTGACTGCTTCTATTTTCTTCTGCACCCTGATTTCAAGTACATGGCACATTTTATATGTGTTACTTGAATAACACATCAACCATACTGTGCCTGTTCATACTGTAGGCTTGCTTTTCCATTATACAGAGAAAGGATCCTTCCAGAGAGTTCCTTAAACAGGCAAGTTCAGAATGCATACTTACCTGATGAAGGTGTCCAAGAAAGGCCTGGGCTGTAGAGATTGCCCCTGTGGCAGGCACAGTCTGTTTTTGAAAGTCCAGGCCATTTGTCTGTGTGCCTGAAGAGGAAAGAAAAGTTGCAACCTATTAAAAATTCCTAACTTTGCTGCTGATTCGTTAATGTGATACATTCAGTTCAGAGTCTATAAACAAAACTGTGCCTTTTCACCCGATGCTGTGTTCCCCTCCACTGGCTTAGCAATACTCTTGAGAGAATCCTCGTAATACTATGCATGCATGGGTCAATATAGACAGGACACAAAAATACCTTCCTTCCTTGAGTAGTAACAAATTTAGGGTTGATATGGGATATTGAAAGGAAGCATGTGACACAGCCAAAGCAATGAGAGTAAAATGTAAGACATGCAGCTGTGTTTATTATTTAAATTTGTTAAATCACTATAAAACGATTTTCATAAGTGCCATACAACAGAAATTAAAAAGAATAATACAATTAAAACTGCAAAATGCCAACCCACCATAAAAAATCCAACCACACGCATAGCAATACAACACAATACAAATTACATTTGTATTAGAGATTAGAAACAACCAGGAAATACAGAAATTAATACCAACATCATTCTAAGAGACTAAAATATGTTTAATACCTAAAATGCCAAGTTCTTAAAAGGCCTGCTAATAATCCTATACCTATTTATTTTATTATTTATTTAGTTGAGAATAAGCCCTATTCAACTCAATAGGCTTACTTCTAAGCAGACAAATAAAGGATTGTGCTGTTAGCCTGGAACTGAAACGACAGTAGTATATAGGCTGGGCAGGCTTCCTTAGTTTACGCATCCCATAACTTGGCAGGGGAGGGGTGGCATTGAAAAGGTTCTTTCAAGGCCATCCATCAAAATTCAGACTGAGGGGCTCTCAGAAGAAGGTCTTAAGGAATAGACAAATATATTATTTTCTTAAGTACTGAGATCCATGTAGGACTTTATATCTCAAAACCAGCACATTAATAGCAGAACCAGATGATGAGAATGAAAGAAAGACATGCAGGGAAAATGTAACAATCAAGATGTGCTCTAATAGAGTCAAGAAAAATGAAAATAGCTGATTCAACAAAGTAAATTAAGGCAGAAGGATAAACCATGATTTAATACTACCTTATACATTGGTACCTTGGCTCACAAACTTAATCTGTTCCAGGACTCTGGTCATGACCCAAATTGGTCATGAGCCAAGTTAAATTTCCCCATAAGGTTCAATGTAAATAAGGTTAATCCGTTCTGTAACCAGTTTTTAAATCAGAAAAATGTGAAGCAAAGTGACAACAACAAAGATCCCAGCCATCTCCCCCCACGCACCCTGAGCACAAGTGCGGCCATCTCTCCGCCCCTCCCCAGCACGACCGAGATAGCGCCTGTCATCCCTGCAGGCACCCTTCATCCTGGCGTGCTGTGGGGTGGGGGGGAGAGATGGGCGTGATCACAGGAGAACTTGGGAAGTCAGAGACAAGCGCAAACAGCACGCTGGGGGAGGGAGAGATGGGCGTGATCTCGGCCATCTCCCCCCACCCCCAGCACGATCGCAACCATCTCCCCACTCAGGGGTGGGGTGGGAAGATGGCCGTGATCGTGCTGGTGGGGGGGGGGGATGGCCGAGATTGCGCCCGTCTTTCGTGCAGCAGTGTGCCTCTGATCATGCACACCTTCCCTGCATGAACGGAACTGCAATCGTGGCCATCTCCCCACTGGGGGGGGGGGGGGAGGGGGCTGCAATCTTGGTCGCCCCCCAATGAGGAATTCGTGACCCACGTCAAAATTTTAATGAAATTTTTGTTCATGACCCAATTTGTTCATGAACCAAGGCATTCGTGAGCTGAGGTACCAATGTTTATTTGATGTGGACACTGGATAAGATATGAATGAGGCACTAAAATTAAAGGAAAAAAGAACACAGGGATGTACAAGAACTATGAGTACAGTTAAGTTCTAGTTTGTGCTGGGTCATTCCACATATGACAGAGGACTAGGCTACCATCCTTGCAATTTTTCTAATGGCGTAAGTGGAAGATAGCATGACAGCAGACCAATGAAGTTGAAATGATAGGAAAGATCACAGGTGCAAGTGACCTAGTGTGGAAGTATGGAGGCCCCTCAACAGAAACCTGAGGAACAAAATAAAAATTCCTGCACTTCATTTCATTTAAAATATCTGATCGTGTTTTCATATTTTTCATCAAATAAATTTGTTCAATCATACAATAACTTTCATCTCCAAGAATTAGCCTGATTCAGTGGACAAGTTCCAAAACTTTTCTAAAATATTTGAACACTGAACAAGACTGAATATTACTAACTACTATACTTTGGAACCATGTTCCAGAAAAGAGGCCTGGGATATTTCTGCAACACTTCCTTGATATCATTATAAATTAATACTTTGCTAGGTAACAAGACACTGAATACTCAAATAGACTTGGATGTAATGTTAAATCACTATGTAAATGACCCTAACCCTCACCTCTTTTTTGCATGCAGAAGAGTACAATGAAAGTGCCTTCTTCCTGGTTTTAAATAACTCTGAATTATTGTCATGTTACCTAGCAAAGTAAGGTTATTTTAAATTATGGTTTAAAAAAACAAGTCAAGATTGAATGGTGGTTTCTGATCTTGACCTATTAAAACCATACTTTCCAGTTTGGCTGCAACAATAAACTATACTTAGTTTAAATCAGAAGTAGATGCTTTCACTGTCTTCCTGGTGGTAAGAGAAAAGCAGAGTACTCAAGCCTATTGCTAAAGCAGGCTCATTCATTTACTGCTAAATAATGTTTTAATGCTATGTTCAAACTACACCACTGGCTATTTCTGGTACTATCTATGCCCTTTGGCTGAAACATTCCGAAGAATTTAATACAATTCAATTGTGATTGTTTTGTTTACACATCAGTTGCTACCATGGAATATCAGTTTTCATCTAAATGGTAAATTATAATCAAATCTAAAACAAAACAATCCTTACTGGTCCTGTACAATTGCCTCAAAATGATACTTTTTATAAGCTGGGGAAATTCTGAGAATATCCGGGGTGTAGAGGGATGCATACATACATTCATACATACAAACATAATGTACTGTATTTTTTGCTCTATAAGATGCACTTTTTTCCCCCTCAAAAGTAAGGGGAAATGTCTGTGCGTCTTATAGAGCGAATGTGTGTGTGCCTGACACCCGGGTCTTATACTGTATTATTCAGCGTCATATTAGGTTTTAACAAATATTCCTCTTCCTGGATGTCATTATACCTTGAACATAGAGTGTTGATAACATACCTTTTAAGAAGATAATTACTTAATTAATTCTTAACATACAACTATCATTAGGGAATTTCTCAGTTGAACCATGTGCAGGGTATTTATCCATGAGCAACTGATCATAGTCTATAAAAGCTGTAATAAATGGAAGTATTAGTATAATCTAGCATTCTGTTTAGCAACTAAGAAATAAGGTATAGCCTGAAATACTTCTTACAGACAATGGATAGTGATACACCCTTAAAAAAATTAGGTGAGGGACACACACCAGATAAAATATAAGTGGAGCTATCATTTCCACACCATTTTTCTAAAATTTTGGCACTCCATAATGCATCCTAGCCCCAAACACCCACAAAGCAAAACATTACTTTTCCGATAGATTTAAGCAGTATACTTTAACTTGTTTTCTCTTTTCAAAGTTCTGAGTTAATGGATTTTTGTGGTACTAGAAATTTATACACTGGAACATATTATGTTTTATTTTCTGATTTACAACACTAAGTTCTATGTTCTGATTTAACAGGGGCAACTGTGTAAGTATTCCTTTCAAACAGAGAAGACTAGAAGTTGAAATCCGTCTTGCATTTGTACGGAGTATGGACAGTGCCATTTAACACATTAAAAGACCCTTCTTTCAGCAGAACGCTGACATCAGCATCTGAAAACATGAGACAAATCTATGGGCAGTGGATATTCTTAAATGGAACAAGTTAGGTATGCGTATATTGTATAAATGATCTCTGTTCCACTAAGAAGTAACAACACAATTTTCTATAAATTGGCCAACATTGGGAGGCAAAAGCAACAAGACAAATAGATTTTTTCTTCTGGAATCCTGCATGTCTTGACAAGTCAGGAACAATGTAGCCAGAGAAAGGAAACCTGATCCTATCCAAAACCTTTGGATTATGACATAAGAGATTGTAAGAGGTGCAGTCCATAACATCTGGAACACATCATGTTGCTCACCCGATGCAGGTGGTAGTGGTACAATTGTATGGAAACTTTTGTGCCATTGGTAGCATTTTCTATTAGAAGACGAAGAGAGTCAACTACAGAAGGCTCCTAGCTACTTTAGGAGTTGCTATGTTAATGCTCCTGTTCCCATTATGATTGCTATTTTAAATCAAAGTATTATGGCACAACTATATAACTTCCCACCCAGGGTCATGCTAACCAGGCTAGTAAAAGTTAAATTGGAAATGGAAAGGAAGAAGAGCCAGTGTGCGCTATTAAGGAAAAACATTATGGGATGCTTGCATGGTTTCACAGAAGCATTCTCCTTCCTTTCATTTTCAGCTGAAGTTTTACTAGCCCAGTCTCTATAAACCAGGTAAGAAAGTTATGGGGCTACTATCCCTTAAAACAGTGATCACAACAAGATGGAAACAACAGCATCAACCACAGCTTTTCTACCAACAGGTAACTATCATCATCTATTACACTTCTAATACCAACCATAGCCAAAGTTCTCTGGGTGGTTTACAACAAAGTAGTAAAAACAATAAAATACAATAGAAAAAAAATTAACATGAATTAAAGATGAATATAAAGTAACAAAAAAATTAAAAGACAATAAAATATAATTTAAAAACCAGGGCAGAAATAAAAGGCACCTGGCTAATTGTGTCAGACTCCTGAATGACCAGGGAGGTCTTTAAAGGCCTTTTCAAAGAGAGCTGTCTTAACCTGGCACCAAAAAGATGGCAAATTTGGTGTCAGGCATGCCTCAGCATGGAGGTTATCCCAAAGATGGGGGGCCAGCTAGAAAAGGATAGTCAC